TTTTTTTTTGTTTGCTTTTTGGTGAAGCAATCAGGGTTAAGTGACTTGCCCAGGGTCACACAGCTAGTACATGTCAGGTGTCTGAAGCTGAATTTGAACTCAGGTCCTCCTGACCCCAAGGCCAGAGTGTAGCTGTGCCACCTAGCTGCCCCAGAACATCAGTTTTGAAAAGGACAGTGGGAGTCAAGGAAGGTGAAGACATGAGGTGGCAGAGTGCACGGAGTTCTAATGTTGTAGTCAGGAAGACCTGAGTTCAAATTCATCCTAGACATTTACTAGCTGAGTGACCCTGGGCAAGTCAGCCACCTAACCTCTGCTTGCCTCAGTTTTCTCAACTCTAAAATGGGGATAATAATAGCACCCATTTCACAGGATCAAGTGAGATAACATATTTAAAATGCTTTGCAAACCTTAAAAGGGGTATTTAAATGCTAACTACCCTTCAACTGAATTTCTGAGGGTCCATGAACTTGGATGGAAAAAATGTACGTCTTTATTTTCACCATTTGATTCCATTTTTAATCTTGTGTGTTTTATTTTGTGCATTCGAAAACATTCTTCTGAGAACAAATTCATAGGCTTTTTTCTGGATTGTTGAAGGGTCCACGACACAATGAAAGGTTAAGAACCTCTAGTCTAAAGCATGTAGGAGAGTCATTCATAAGATCATAGATTTAGAGAGCTGGAAGGGTCCTACCTAATTCAACCCCCAGTTTTTAACAGAGGAGGAAATGGAGGCCCAGATATATTAAGTGTCTGGTCCATGGTCACATAAAGATGGTGGCAGAGTTGGGATTCCTTCTTAGATCTTACAACTCCAAACCCACTGTGCCACACTGCCTCCCATTAAGGCAATGGGCTTCTAGAGGAAGGTTCTCAGAAGTATGGAGGGAATAAAAAGGGAGGGAGAGGTGGGTGAATGAGAGGACCACCTCTTTAGAGATGGAAGAGATTGTCTAGCTCATCTACTGTTACCTTGTCATTTTGCAAATCAGAGATCTAGAGCCAATGCTATCGAGCCTTCTCATTTTCGGATGAGGAAACTGAGGCCAGAATGGAGGAGGAATTTGGCTAAGTTCACACAGTTAGTAAATAGCAGAACTAGAATGGGAACCCAGGTCTTTTGAGTCTCAATCTAGTATATTTTCTATCCTACCATGTGGCAAAGAAAGAGACGAAGGTAGGGATGAGGCTGGACAGAGATGGATTGGGAGAGATGGGCTGGGTGGGTTGTAGGCATTCTTGCCTGCTTCTGGAAGCTTGAAAGTCCAGTGGAAGGTCCTGAGTCCAAATTCCGCCTGTCACTACCTGGGATACCTTAGGCAAATCACTTCAACTTACTGGGCCTCAGTTTCCTCCTATGGAAAATGAAGGGGTTGAGTTCGAGGTGCTCCAAGGTCCCTTCCAGGTCTGGATCTAGAATCCCTATGAAAAACCTGCCCACAGCTGGTGCTCAATGAATATTCTGTGACTACTCGAAGGCCGGAAGAATCTGATGAAATATTTCAGGTTTTCCAATTTCTGTGTCTCTTACTCCAATCAGTTTGTTTGCAACTATGTCTCCTGCCCGCAGACAGAAGCAGCCCTCCTCATGAATTATGCAAAAAGATGAGCATCTTGCCTTTTCATGGTTTGGGGCTCCAGAAACGTGCCTTCCAGTACTTATTGATATTTTTTGCACTTAATAGTATTTTATTTTTTTCCAATTATGTGTAAAGATGGCTTTCAATATTTATTTTTATAAGATTTTGAGTTCCAGGTTTTTCTCCCTTCCCTCCCTCCTCCCCAAGACAGCAAGCAATCTGATATAGTGCAATCATGCTAAACATTTCCACATTAGTCATGTTGTGAAAGAAGAATCAGAACAAAAGGGAAAAAACAAGAAAAAAAGTGAAAATAGTAAGCTTCGATCTGCATTCAGACTCCGTAGTTCTCTGGATGTGGATCAGTAGCTATTGATCTTGGAGATGGCCTGTGGCAGCCCTCGATAGCTCCTGATCAGATATCAGTGAGACAGTCTGGGTCCTTGGCATGGTGTGGGCTGCCATCTTTAAAGTGATATCTCCCAGATTTATTTTAAAAAAACTGCAGCTTCCTCCTTGGCAACCCTGGCTTTGGTTCCCCATCTGATAGCTTTATTTAGACAGGGAAACTCATGGTAAGATTTGGACACAGCTAGATGGCACAGTGGATAGAGTACTAGACTTGGAATCAGTAAGACCTGAGTTCAAATCTGACCTAAGACATTTACTAGCTGTGTGATGCTAGACAAGTCACTTTGCCCTGTTTGCCTCAGTTGCCTCATCTGTAAAATAAGCTGGAGAAGGAAATGGCAAACCACTTCAGCATCTCTGCCAAGAAAACCCCAAATCGGGTCATGGAGAGATAGACACGACCGAAATGACTGAACAATTCCATATACATACTATATACATACTATATATAGTATATGTGTCTGTATTTATTATTATTATTATTATTAATTATTATTATTATTATTATTATTATCCCCTTCCTTCCTTCTCCCCAACCAGTCCCACACTGCTGGTAACATGGTTTATGATTTTAGGTCAATCACTTCTCCCTTATTTGACCTCAGTTTATTCATCTGTGAAATGAGGAGGTGGTGACGGTGGAGATCAAAGGTCCCTAACAGTCTGTGGTATTTAATACGTACTAACTATATCTGGCCATTACTGATAAGAGATTTTAAGAACCTTGAAAACCTTATAGTCTCTCCACCCTCAGGGCTTCCATTTTAGATTTATTGAAGCTTGTTGGAGAATGGAGCTTTTTGGAGGGCTCGGCTCTCGTCAAGGAAAACAACTGTGAAATGAAATTCCTCCCAGGGCACTGAGACGTGATGGGTTATTTCCCAGTTTCTCTGGGCCACCCTGATTTAAAGAGACATTTTGTTTCTCTGGCTCTTCACACACTTGCTGTGTCGCGGGCTTAAGAATGAAAGGAACGCTACAGAACATCTAGTCCGATTGCCTCTCCCCAATTTTTCAGAAGGGGAAACTGAGGCCCAGAGAGGGCTTATAGAATCATGAAACTGGTGCTGGAAGGGACCTCAGAGACCAACTGATCCAAACCCCTTTGTTTTAAAGAAGAAGGATCTGGGACCTTATCTGGGATGGAATCATAGCTACAAGGATCTCAGAGGTTACCCTGTCCAACTAGCTCTTGTCAGAGGGGAGGAAACTGAGACTCAGAGAGGGAATTTGCCACAGGTACCAAGGGAGTAAGCAATGGACCTGGAATTCAAACCTTTTCCATTCATTTCAGTCGGATAGACTTTTAAATGCCTGACTATGTGCTGGAGATACAAAGATAAAAAGCAATCAGCCCCTGCCCTCGAGGAGCTTACATTCTACTAGGCAGAGTGAAGAAAGAATACAACTTGTACACAAAGAAGTAAATCCAAAATATGTTCAAAGTAATATAAAGTAATTTCAAGGAGAGAGGGCTAACAACCCAGGTACAGGACGGTGGTCAAGAAAGGCCTTGTGTAGGAGGTGGCCCCTATGAAGGAAGCTGGGGACTGTATAAGGCAGAGGAGAGAGGGGCACGGGGAATTGCCTGTGCAAACGCTTGGAGGTGGGAGATGATGTTGTCCATGGCGAACAGCTGGGGGACCAGTTTGAAATGTAAGCATGGAAAGGATTGATATAAAATGAGAAAGACTGGACTCCTGCCCCAGATCCATTGTGGTCTTTCCCCTTGTTTCTTCCCCTCTGGCCCAAAGGAGAGAGAAGTCCTGTAGCTTCCCTAGTTATCAGTTTCTGCAGGGAATTGGAGAAGAGGACAGGTTCTCTGGCTTTGCCTTAAGAATTAGGTGAATTAGGGGTGAGAGAGGAATATACTAGGAGAAGGAGAAAGGGAGAGGTAGAATGGGGTAAATTATCCCACAAAAAAAACCAGAAAAGAAAAGGCTCTTACAGTGGAGGGGAAACAGGGGAAGGTGAGAGGGAATGAATGAATCTTATTCTCATAGGATTTGACTTAAGGAGGGAATAACATACACACTCAATTGGGTATGGAAATCTGTCTTACCCTACAGGAAAATAGGGGGGGAAGGGGACAAGAGAGTAGGGGGATGATAGAGAGGAGAGCAGATTGGGAAAGGGGGTAATCAGAAGCAAATACTTCTGAGGAGGGTCAGGGTCAAAAGAAAGAATAGAATAAACGGGTGGGCAGGATAGGATTAAGAGAAATAGAGTTAGTTTTTCACAGCATGTCTACTATGGAAGTGTTTTGCATAACTGCACATATATAACCTATATTTAATTGCTTGCCTTTTCAATGAGGGTGGGTGGGGAGGGAGGAAGGGAGAAAATTTGGAACCCAAAGTTTTAAAAACATGTTTAAAAAAATGTTTTCACATGCAACTGGTAAATAAGAAATACAGGAAATGGGGTACAGAAATCGATCCTGCCCTACGGGAAAATAGAAGGGGAAGGGTATAAGAGAAGGGGGGGAGAGAGAGAAGGGAAGGCAGACTAGGGGAAGGGGTATTCAGAATGCATGCCATCTTGGGGTGGGGGAGAGGCAAGATGGGGTGAAAATTTGGAACTCAAAATCTTGTGGAAGTAAATGTTGAAAACAAAAAAAATAAATAAAAATTACCATAAAAAAAAGAATTAGGTGAATTGAGAAAGGGCAGATTTCCTGGGACTCTTAGCTAAAGGAATGTTTGACTAGGATAAGACTCAACTGTAGTGACAAAGAGCCAAGACCTGGGGAAGTGGGTTTGATAAGGGAGGGTGTGACTAGATTGTGTCCATCCCACAACGCTGCACAGAGGAATTTGGATGCTGACAAGTTGCCCTCCCTCTCTCTGGCACTCCACATTCTCATCTCGAAAACGTCTAGGTTGAGTTAGACAATTTCTAAGGTTCTGTGCCTCATTTTGAAGGCAACA